TACATAACTAGAATGAATTTTGTAATAAATTGTATGAATCGAACATTACTTTTTTTCCCAAACCATTTTCATTCGGAATATTAAAAGTTCATAAAATGTATGAATTTGTACATGAATGAACTTTTTCGTTTTTTTTTTACTTATTTCCTTTGATTTTCATAAAAAATTGCAATAAATATCCAATGTTCCATTTTTTTAGAAAATAAAATAATAATAATTAGCGAATTTTTATGAAAAATAAATATAAATATTGGAAAACAAAATATGAAATAAAAAAACATCAGCAATATAGCAAAACATCCATTCTTCAGACAATCCTGCAAGTTACGCGCATTTTCATTGTTTTCAATCTAAAAATCATAAAGAAATAAAAAATTTTCCAAAGAAAATTTCAAACATTTTTTAACAAATAGAAAAATAGAAAGAAAATTTTTAATTTTTTAAGTCAAGGCTTCTAGATTATTTTTAAAAAAATAAAAATGAAAAAATTCATACAATTTAGGAACTTATTCTTAAATACTATTAACTTTAGTCAATGAAAGCTGTTCATAATATTTATGCTCAAACTTTTTTCTGTGTATATATTTTTACTAGATTTTTAAAAATTCACTTTTCGACAAATTAAAATAAATAATAATTATTTTTAAAAAAAATTTTAGAACATCAATTTAGATATTTTAACGGATTTTCGGTAGAAAATTTTTCATTAAGATTTTCTATAGAAATGTTTTTATTTAAGTTTTATGTACAAGTTTAAGACTAGTTATTTTTCTAGCAAGATACCAAGACATATTTATAGCAAGTTCTTAAATCAATTTTGTAGAAATCGCGGTCAGACTTTATAGAAAAGATGTTTGTGAAAAGAGTTTTCTATGAGTTCCAATGATAATTAAATTTGTTTTCATCTAATTGTCAGAAAAACCAATAAACAAAAAGAATATTGAAAGAGATCTATCTTAATTTAACAAAGTTTGTGTGACTTTTTAGATCCGAAAAGCTATCGTTATCATACTAAATTTAAAAATCTTTTAATTCTTATAAGACTCTGTAAAAGACAATTTGTAAAATTCCCAATGCCATATTCTTTTCGCATTTACTCTAAAATTGGTAACTCTATTCTATTGTTTACATTTTTGACACTAGAAAACAATAACAAATAATTACCTCCCATTGAAAAACGTGAAAAATGTAGACTTGTATATATAAAAAATTCTATTGAGAAAAATATAAATGTTAGTGGAGTCCTTTAATAAAAAACTATAAATTAAATTTGCATAAAATACAAACAATTTAAATTTTATTAAATAATCCTAAAATAAATCTACAAAATGACTAAAAATACAATAAAAATTGAGGACTTGCCCACAGAAAAGGAGCTAATAACCAACACCCAGGAATGCGTGAAATATATACAGGTAAGAATGAATTTTTTATTTATTGAAGAAGGCTTTATTAATGAAATTAATTCCATTCAACTTTTTAGCAAATACAAAATTATACCGACACTCCCACAAATGTGGACCATTTACTTTTGCATATTAAGGCAGTTATAGACAAGGAACTTTGGCAACCAGATGAAAGAAGCAGCATACAATACAATCAAGTTGTAGTAAATGTAGCTTTTCGCTGTTACTATCAAGTGTTAAAGAAAAATAATTTGGAAGATAAATTTTATGGCCAATTTATCAACGACAACTTTAACCAGAATTTGTTGCTAAAGGAAAAGAATTTTATAGTGCTACAGTACTTGTTATTAACAAATCAAAGTTTGGTGTTGCAACCACAAGCTGTTCTCCATAAATTATTATCAGCTTTTGTTTTATCCGTGGATTCCAATCATGTATCTTTGATGTCCATTTTAAAGTCACTAAATTTATTAAGCAAAAAGTTTCCCAAACTAAATTTTGATTTTCCCTTGTCCTTGGATCATCTATACTTTTGTCTGCAATCCAATCAAATGGGTATGAGAGATGAATGCATGTCATTGCTGCAGTTTGTGTGCTCTAACCGGGAATTGGCTTTACAGTACTTTCAAAGTGTGGTAAATTATTGGCCCTGGACTAATCGTAATAAACTATTTGTCTTAGGTTGCATTTTAAACAAATATAGCTTAGATGAGTGTCTACAGGCCAGTAATCATGCCAAGGAAGATTTCTTTTTGGGCTTGAGATCTACTTTAAATTACAAAAATCTATTGGCACCCAGTCAGTATGTGGTCAAAGCTTTGAGTGGCCAAAAGTCTTTCCAACTTTTGGAAATGTCGGTAAATATTTTAACCCTGGGTAATAAAAAAGAAATACAAAATTTTTATGCCCAGTGGTTTTCACGAATACAACAAAAAGATGAATTATTTGAAATGTTACAGCAGAAACCTGAAATTGCTTTGTTCATAGACAATTCCTCGGATTATCTAATGGACAATGAACATAGCTATCGTTTGATTTTAATCTTCAGCATGTTTTCCAAACAGGTTTTTCTTTTATCCAAATTGCACTTCTTCAAATTGAGCACTGAGCTGTTGACCAATTGTTTTCAATACGACACCGAGTGCCAATTATTGATATTTAAATTTATTGTGGATAATCTGGCCAATTTTGCTATAGAAGATTGCATGGAGTTTGTAGAGTCCTTCCTAAGGACCCACAGCTCGGTGGATAATGCCCAGTTTCGTAATACCATGTTGGGTAAAATGCCCAATATTATTAACTATATAGCTAAGACTTTTTGCAAATTGTGTTTGAACAGCCAGCAGACGTCATCTTTGGAATCGAGTATTTTAAATTTTTTTCTGCATTTACAAAAGGATATTGAACAAGGTATAGCTAGTGACATATACCAGCCGAAAATCTTTTGCCTAAAGTTGCTGGAAATTTTACTGAAATCTTTGTATACGGAGACGGTGTCGAAAAATGCCAAAAACTGTTGTGTTTCACAAAATCAACAATTGGGTTTGTTTTTAAAAGAACATAAGGTATTCGATAGATCTGCCATGGAAATGCGTTTAATGGAGCTGTTAAATGATCCCTTAGGATTTGATGATGCTTTAGATTTAATAGTGGAATTGTTAAAAATGATAAAACCTCAAGAAGTGGTGGTAAATTTAGCTTTGGATTTAACACAAAGAGCATCCACTTTAGCAGATGTGGATGAGTGCAACCTCAGCTTTTTGTATGCTCGCGTAGCTGTGCAAAATTGCCAAAGTGAGGAGACCTTAAAAGAGTTCTTAAATATAATACTTACCAATCTACAGGAAAATCTCCCCAAATTTGATAAAGATCCACTTTTGGCCTGTAAAACCCAAGGTGCCCATTTATTTGGTCTAATCAATGTTCTATATGAATTAACGCAATTTAGGTCGGACTTATGTTGTGCAGAATTCTTAAACTTTTTAAAACTTGTGGAGCAAATACAAACACTTGTTATTAAAAAGTTAAATGTTGCGGTAGTGGAAAATGCGGAAGAAATTTTGGCGGCTGCCTCATTTGAAGATATGGACAAAAGTCTAGAGATCTTGGTGTGCCAAAGCTCTTATGAAACCGAGGATCATGACTTGTGCCGCAAATATTTACTCATGTCATTTTGGTTGACCTTAAAAGCCTGTTGTGATTTAGCTTCTTCTATGGCTATTTATGAGGTAAAGAAGAAAACCCTTTCGGAACAAAGCTGCAGTTTTCTGCAAAGATGTTTGCAGGTTAATGTTATGGTTTTAACAAAGTGTCGCCACAAAGGAGCCATAGAATCAGCTGGTGTTGCAATAGGCAAATTAACTAAAGCTATTACCAGTCATTTAGATGAAGACACAGAAGAATTTAATCTATTACATTTATGTCTGCAGCAATTATATGAAGTTAAAGAGTCCAATGTTAGTACTACACGCCGAGGAGCTGGTTTTTCTATAATGTTTTTACATGTGGTAAAAAATGAAGATCATCGTGGTAGACCTATTTTGAAAAGAGCTGTAGAAAATCTTTTAAATCCCAATTTAAAGTCTAAGGATGCTGACGCTGATATAAACTGCGATCGGCTGGAGGCTTTATATCTGCATTTTCTTTGTGTTTTGGTAAGAGATACTGAACTACGTGAAGCCATGTCTAAATACTACAATGAAATTATGATGGCAGCCGTCAAGCAAATAGACAATCCCGAATGGACTGTTTGCAATGCAGCTTTACAATTATTTGGTGCTTTAGTGCCCAAGATTGTGGGTCAAAAACAAGCCAATGAATTCGAAGATCCTCTACCGTGGGAACCCAGTGAAGTTACTTTTAGTGAAATTAACCGCAAACTGCCAAAAGCTTGTGTTTATATATTAAACTATTGTCTGGCAGAGAAATCCTCTACCAGATCTATAATTCTATTTTTGGAATTTCTGCACAAAGTAGAATACATTTATAAAGGTGTTCTGGAAGCACAAAATCCTGTTTACAATTACCGCCAGTTAATGTGGTCTTTGTTGCAACATAATGCTGAAAAAGTACGTAAATTAGCGGCCAAATGTTTAATAAGAGCTCATGAATTTCGTGTGGAATTGCCGGAAATGTTGCAGCAAATAACTAGCATGATATTCTCCGTGAAAAATGAGAATTTCTTTGAAGGTTTGGTATATACCCTACAAGAGGGTATATTGAAACTACAGCATGAATCCAAGCATATTATAGCTCCAGCTTTATATCAACAACTAGAGCAGCAAATCAAACAAAATTTACAAGAAACTTTTCCCAGCAAATGTCTTTCGTACAAATTCTTTACTTTGTGCAAGTTATGGGATTTATTAAAACTTTTACAACATTATCAGCTAATGGAACAACTAAAAGTTTTAGCACAACCCCAAGACAAAGTAGATAAAATGTTGGGCTATGATTTATGGCTGGAACGTATAGAAATAAATTAAAATTTAATTAGTTTTAAACGATTTTTTACTAACAGATAACAAAATTACACTTTAACTCCCTCCCCCCATACATACATATTTAAAATCAAATTTTTGAAGAAATCAAACATTTTTTAATAAAATACCTGTTTAGACCAAATATATTTATTGTAATTTAGTTAGTGATTATGCTTAAATATTAAACGTTTTTGCAAAAGGTTAACAGAAAAGTATATAGAAATAAAATAAAGATATATGCTATGACAATTTCTTAATAAAATCGTTTTTATATGTAGGTATATACAGTTTTTGGTTAATTGTTAAAGATCAACTAAAATCACCACTGTCTGAGGTTTGGGAAATGACAATTACATTTAATTTGTTATTTTCAATTACAAGTTAATGGTAATTGAAATTTATTATATTAATGTATTCCCAAATTTGGGCTGTTTGTACTGTTGATCCATACTTTAACTTTATTGTTGCTGCTGTTGCATTTCTTGTGTTTGATTAACTTGCATCTGTTGCAAAGTACGACTTAAAATATTTCTTAAAATATGAGGCTTACAGTGTTCCTCCAGCCAAGGTATAACCCCAGTTGTCAATAGTTTGAAATTATCCATAGGGATATGTTGAAAGGTTTCGAACATTTCATCCATCACAGCTTGAAACTGAAAAAGTGAAGATAATACATTTAAAGAGGTTATGATGGTCTATTAGAAAGGAGTTACAGAAATAGAGAATTCATACTAGACTTTATATTAGACTTGACTATAGACTAGATTATTCCACCGACTACTATATGGACTATTTATCACTAGTTTATAAAAGTACCGGAAACGCCATGTAAGTACCGCGTTATTTTCCGATAAAAAAAAGTACTAAAGTACTTGATTTTCCCACCCTGCTTTACAGTTTTATATTCAGATACTCACCACTTGAAACTTAGCCTCATCGGTTAAACGAGCCTCTTCAGGTCCCGGATTGGCCTGTTGGTGTTGCAGCATATGCTCGTAACTATTCTGTATAATACGTAAAGCAATTACTTCTTTTTGTAAAGCGGCGCAATCTTCTTCTTGTTTTTTCTTTTGTTGATTCAAATAACCAATATAATCGATAGATTTTTGCAAAATCAGCGCTTTACTCAATTTGTAACCTGAAGCCGAGTCATTTTGCTGACATGTAGGCACCAGTTCTTGCAAACTATCATAACCCTTCTTAATGGCATCACGTCGTTTCTGTTCAGCCTGGGTATGAGCCTCACGACGTCGTTCTTTATAGCTTAAAGTTGAAGTGGCCGAAGAACCAACACGACCACTGCAATTATCACCACTATCATCGTCATCATCTTAAAGAAGAAAACATTAAGTAACAATTTTACTTAGAAGGAGACTAACTTACCTGTATTGTGGGGCGAGGAATTGGGTGTGTGTATACTACCCGCACTGCTACATCTGGAATAGTGTTTAATACCTTCTTTACTTTCCATATTACTTGTATCTTGTTCCATCATGCTGCTACTATAATCCTCTTGACCGCGACCCCTGGTATAGTGTTTAATACCTTCTTTACTTTCTATATTACTCGTATCTTGTTCCATCATGCTGCTGCTATAATCTTCTTGGCCACGACCTGATAACATTACGGTAAGTTAAAAAGTGTTTGTCGCATATTTAGCTTTTCTGCGTTTTTGTTCTTACCTAAATCTGCTGTTGAGTGCTCGTCCATATTGTTTTTGAAGTGTGTATCGCGAATTTATTAAGTGTATATGCAATATATATTGTAATTTGAACAATGTTTACTTAATTTACTATCATATCTTTCTTTTTATATTGTTGTAATTTTCCATTTATTCAGCAATTTCTTTATTTGCACTCTTCCCAGGAACAGTGAAAATTTACCAATCAGATGTTGTTGAAATTTAGAAAAACAGCTGTTACTAATATTTGATAGTTGGTATAGTTTTTACTTGGCAACCATGTTGTTTATGGCAGAGATGGGAAAGTTAAACTAATTTTTTGCAAACATTTTGAATAGAAAAATAGAAAAGTAATGCGAATTATGCACATCAAAGCAGAGCTCTTTCGGAATTTTTTCAATATTTCCTATTTTTTTCAATATTGAATTCATTTTTTAAGAACATACAAATATTCCACAACTTGTAACGTTTTTATCAAATGCAACTCTATGTCTCTACAGATGGATATAGTTAATGTTCAAAAAAGTCTAGTGAAAATCAATTTATAAAACCATAGACCCTACTAAAAGTAGCATTTATCAGCTGATTGCGTTCTTATTCATGAATAATATTTTTTTTATAATTCTAATAATTTATTATTTTCATATAAAGAATTAATCATTCTTTTAAATATACTTATAACAGGTGTAGGGTATCATCATTTCGGCCAAGACTGTATAGGTCTTGATTAGTATATGCATTATAATAATTAAATAATTCAGATTATTCTTTTAGTGCATATTTTTAGATTTTAAGCATTCATATTTTTTATTTTCCCCTATAAAATTATATTGTATCCGGTAAAAATATGGCAGCACATTCGATTTCTGTTTTGGATACATCTTTTTCTCGCATACGTTTTGTACATCCATTCATTAAGTGACAAGATGGCGATTGAGACGAATAAACTTTTGCTGTCCACACAGCAGGAAAAACCTAATCATTATACGTAAATAAATAATAAAATTATTAATAAATTTTATGTAAAACTAATTGTTTATATTCCCCTCTCATAGATATTTAAAGGAATTTCGCGTAGAACAATGTCAATCGTTTCTACAGCACAAATGCAATCAGCACCGTCCGTTTGTATGCTTCAATTGGCATTTTCAAAATCAAAGACGCCGCAGACCGATACGAAAGCGGGATGGTACATTTAATTATAGTGCTGATAATTATTGTACAAAATATGATGAAACCACAGGAATATGTCCAGATGGAGACGAGTAAGTACAAGTTTAAAGAAAAAAAAAATTGTGTGAAAATGTGAAATTTTCAAGCGGCAGGAAATTGCGTATTATGAAAAGACGACGAATCGTACGAAAAAAAAAAAACATTCAAAAGTCTGGTTGGAAAAAAAGTTGTATGGGAGAATTTGTGTGTATGTGTTTGATTAATGTTTAAAAAGACACAATTGTTGGAGGGGTGCATTTTATTATTTTAACGACAACAACAAAAACCGTCATTCCAGTTCAGTACAGTATTCATCATCAAACAAATTTATTGTTTATTTATCAACTTGTGGTTTTTTTAAGTTTGTGAAATTGTTTCAAAAAAGTTTTAATTGTATTGTTGTTTTTTTCGTTTAGTGTTTGATTTTTCTCTTTCCCTTTTTTTGTTTAGTTTATTTCGCAAAGATTTTTTATTGCTTTCGTCATATTTTACGCATTAATATTTTTTGTTTGTATTGTGTTTTTTTTTTTTTTCTCTGTTTCGCTTTTTCTATTTTGTTTGGATTCATTCATTTGTGGGTTTGTTTTTTACATTTTGTTTTTCTTCTATTTCTCTGCTATTAGCCGCATCCTATTTACTCCAATTACACACAATTGGATTTTTTGTCTCTTTCCAATTGGCTTCTTTTTGTATATTTTGCTTTGTTATGCGATTCGTTTTCTTTTGTATCACAACAAAACTGGCAAAACAAAGTGTTGCCATATGGTAGAGTGAGCAAGTAGTGTTTATTCGGGTGGAACCGGAATTTTTTTTAAAGGAATTTAATAAATTTTGTGGGAAAATATGAAATATGATAAATAAAAAGAAAATCACATTTAAATTAATAAAAATAAATACTTTCAAAATATCGAAACATGATAATATTTTTAAAATATCGACATTTTCAGAGAATTTTCGAAATACTGGATATTTTGAACAAATTTTTAAGTAATTTTGAAGATTTCTGAAAAATTTAGATCGAATTTATGTGATAATTTTTGAAATATCAAAAATTTTAAGTGACTTTTTTATGTTGTAGTTTTCAAAATACCGAAATTTTCGAAATAATTATTTTTTTAAATACTTTATTAATTATGAAAATTTTAAAGAATTTTTGAATTTTATAAATATGTATAGCCAATTTATTGAAAACATTTAAAATAAATTTAATAGATAAAATTATTTTCTTTAAACTTTTTACTTATAGTTGCCCATTTTTGCATCGTACCGCTGGCGATACTGAAAGGCGTTATCATTTGCGCTATTACAAGACATGCATGTGTGTACATGATACCGATAGTCGTGGTTATTGTGTTAAAAATGGGCATCATTGCGCCTTTGCTCATGGTGCCCAAGATCAAAGGCCAGCCGTTTATGATATTAAGGAATTAGAAGCATTACAAAATGCTGAACTAACACTAGATGGAGCTAATGCACAGAATGCATTAGACAAAGAAAGAAATCTAATGAATGAGGATCCCAAATGGCAGGATACTAACTATGTATTGGCCAATTATAAGACGGAACCTTGCAAAAGGCCACCCAGATTGTGTAGACAAGGCTATGCTTGTCCACAATACCATAATAGTAAAGATAAGAGACGTAGTCCACGTAAAGTTAAATACAGGTCAGCTAAACGATATAATTAAAACTATAATGTAAAGTTTTTAGAAATGTGGTTGTTTATATTACAGGTCAACACCTTGTCCCAATGTGAAACACGGCGAAGAATGGGGTGAACCTAGCAATTGTGAAGCTGGCGATAATTGTCAATATTGTCACACTCGTACGGAACAACAATTTCATCCGGAAATCTACAAGTCTACCAAATGCAATGACGTTCAACAGGCTGGTTACTGTCCTCGTAGTGTATTTTGTGCATTTGCTCATGTTGAACGTAAGTATTTTTCTATTTGTTTTTTATTTATGTATATTTATTTTCTCTATACAATCTCTGTGGTTATTTACTTCTTTTGTAATGTAATACTATTCATAATATTATATTTATACATATGTATTTATTATACAGATATGTATGTATATTTTTATATATACTTTTCCAATTGGTGTGCTTTTTTCCACAACCATTTATTTTTTAATATTATTGAAATTACTTCAATGATATGATTTCTCTCTACTTAAGTCTTAAACAACAAACTTTTAACTCTAAATAGGATTTGTTCGGCCTTTTCATCAAAATTTTATAGATTTTTAGGTTTAACTTTATTTCAGTATAAAAAAACGAAATTTTTTCATTATTTTTATAATTTTTCTTTAGTTATCTGTTTAATACGGTGTTTGCTTCATATATTTCCATGAAATTGAGAACTTTTATTTGTGGTTTAAAGAATATTAAATAATTTGAAACTATAAATATGAACAAAGAATTGTTACTAACTTACTGATTAAAGAAAATTCATAAATGTTTATGTATGAAATATTTGTTTAAAAAAAATTTTAATAAAATATTCGAAAAATTTCGAAATATTGATATCGTTATTTTTAGAGAATTTTTGAAAATACAAAAGATTTTTTGAATTTTCAAAATATGAAAACATTAATAAAATTGTTTCGTTTTCCTAAAAGTTTAGTTTACACTCAAAAAATTCTCTTTTTCTTGGAAACAGTTCTTTAACCCTTTCTTTCGTATTACTTCATTTTAACATTTAATTATCATTTCTTTTGCAATAAAAACAAATTATTTATTATTAAATTGGTAGTAATAAAAACAAATTATCAAAAAATATTAAGCAAAACAACAACAAAAAAATTTATTTGTGCTTTATCGTTTTTCACTCTTTTATTTATTTATCCTGCATCATATAATTGCCATACGTGTCAAAACCAAACCAAAAAAAATCAAAATAATAATAAAATCAAAATATATATAAACGTAATCATCATTATCTCACAATCAAATAAAAACCTGATTGGTAACTCAAAATTCAACCTTTGCCTGACCTCCAAAAAAAAAAAAACAAATCTTCTAAACAAAATTCAAATTAAACAAAAAACCCACAAAAATACTAGCCTATATTGTCACTGAGGAGAAGCCCCGTGATTTAGATGCGATTACAACAAATTTAGCTCTAAGTGATTTAATATCAAATGCTTTGCCAGATATCAAAACTAAGGATGCTACCAACAACAAAACAGGACTAATGACAATTGGCGAAAATGTAGGTATTTTTTTCAAATTTGAAAAAAAAACAATATGAAACAAAAACTATTCCCTGCTTTTATTACCTTCACTTTTTCCCTAAAACACTCCCATTACTACAACAACTACTACTACTATTTGTTATACAACTCATTACAATGAAACACAGATAAATAATTAACAAAAATCTAGTTAATTTTGTTGAAGATTATTTTCTTGAAGAAAATTAAACAAAACACTAACTTCTTTTTAACATTAAAAAACATTTAATAGTCCTTATTGAAAAACTTTGTACTAATATTTTTAAAACATTTTGCATTATGCATTTTTGTTAGAAAGTTATAAAAAGGTTTCTTTTTGCAATAAAATCTACAGCAAACTTTTACTTCAAAAGCTTGATAATCAATACAATTGAAAGAAACTTTTGAAGAATTTTTTTACAAAAGATACGCAAAAAAACTATAAAACCAATTTTTTTTTTAAATAAATTATGCTTTTTTGAAAAAGCTTTATATGTTTTTTATGTAAAAAGCTTTTGAATGATGTTATTTTTTGGCATTTTTTGAAAAGATTTTATAAAACATAACATTTTTTTAAAAGCTTTTGTTGTTTTTTTTTTAGGAGTACACTTTTTTTATTTTTTTGAAGAATTATTTCACAAAACGTATTTGGTGAAAAGCTTGTTTGAAAAAGAATTTTTTAAACTAGTTTTTGTAAAATAAGTTTTTTTGTGGAAAAACTTTTTTTAGGAAAAAAACTTTTTTTTAAATAAGCTTTTAAGAAAAAAAGCTTTTTAAAAGTTAGTGCAAAATAAGCATTTAAAAACTTTTGAAAAATAAGGTTTTTTATAAGCTTTTGTAAAATAAGCTTTTGATAAAAAGCTTTTATAAAATAAGCTTATTTAAATAAGCTTTTGTAAAACAATTTTTGTTAAGCTTAGGTAAAATAAGCTTTTTTAAAAGATTGAGTAAAATAAGCTCTTTAGAACCAATCTTTTGTAAAATAAACTTTTTTGAAATAGCTATTTTAGAAATAGATTCTAGAAAAAGGCTTTTTACGAATAATTACAATAAGATTATTATTAAGGAAAAAGCTTTATTGAAAAAAATTCATGGCTTGTTTGGAATAGTTTCTTGTAAAGTAAGCATTTGTATAAAATGTTTGTAAATTCCGCTTTTTTTTTTTGTCTAACAATCACATCTTTTTCGAGAAAAACTTTTTTGAAATAAGCTTTTCTTCGGAAAATAGTTTTAAAAACGTCGTTTTGGACAAGTCTTTCATTGTAAAATTTTCATGAAAAAGTTTTTTTAAAGAAAGATTTTGAGAAAAAACTTTGTGTGTAATAAGCTTATGCCACAATTAATTTCTGGAAAAATTATTGGAAAACGGCTTTTTTGCGAATAGTTGTAACAAGTTTTTCATTGAAAAAAAGCTTTTTTTTAAATTTTGACAAAGAAAGCCCATTTTGCTAGAACCAAGCAAAATCTCAAATGTAAAGCTTACAAAGAAGTCAAAATGTAGGGACAGTCGAAACAAAACGAAAAATGCAAAATAAGAAAACTAAACAATAGACAACTTAACAAATTTACACAAAATCACCTGCCATAAGTTTATACATATCACTTAACAATGCAAAATCCTTTCACCTTCACCTCTATTTTCCAAGCTAAAAGGTATTCTCATTCATTTAATCATTTCAAACAGAATACATCACTCACTCATTCTCTCTCACCACACCTATCTACCTATCACTCATTCTACACAATAAATAAAATATTTAAAAAGAAATTTTAAATGAAATAAATTTACATGTGAACATATTTCGTAATTTGTAGTTTAATTTTGCTGCTTTTCTTCTATACTTTTTTCCAATCTTTTTTATCATTTACATGTTTATCATTATTTTACCATGTTGTTTTTTGTAGTTATTGAATATTGATGGTAATGATTCCACCAATAATATGTTGGTTAATGCATTGGAGAAATCCGCTGCTAATCAGAGCAAATATTTAAACTACTCTTTGCCAATGGACAGAATTTGTGAGTATAAAATCCAAACAAACAAGAAATCAAAAAAAAATATGTGTGTGTGTGTTTTAAAGAGATTTTGAATTTCTATTTATTTTTTATTATATGGTTTAATATGGTTGTGGATAAATTGCCAGAATAAGAATTTTGAAAATAGTTAAGGAAAACCGTATGAAAATGGCCTTAAAAGCATGTTTAATTTTAATTTCATTCTTAATTTCGTTAAGAACATTTGTTTTAAATTGGTAATAAAATAAGATTATGTACGTTTTAGTTTTATGACAATAGTTTTTAAAGAAACATATATCCAAAAGAAATATTTATTAATAATTTATTTACCCTCTTAAGCCTGTTCCATAGATGAGCAACGTGATAATGCCTTGTCGGCCAGTTTAGCTAATAGCAGTTTAATAACACGTTCCTCAGCACCCATAAACATTCCGAATTCGGCTCTTAATAATTCTATAGGTGGTGAGTTGTTAACTTTTCGAGCTTTCTATCATACATTTTCTACTTATACGTATCTTTTTTTTTTGCAGATTTTAATTCCGGTGGTTTTGCTGTCAACATTCCCTACAGTCCTACCAATCACTCCAATCTTTTTAATGTTGATGCTTTCAATTATGGCGGTTCCAATTCAAATAAACTTAGCAATTCTCTTACGGCTGCTACACAAAACGATTGCAGTAATAATTTCTTTTTTCCTTCTCATATCATATCGCCGGGTTTTAATGATGGTCTCTCGATTAGTCCTTCGGTACGTTTGTCTGAATTGAATAATTTAACAGATGACTTAAATAGTGGTTCGGTGGGCAATAGTTTAACCACAAATAAAAATGCATTTTCTTTGCAATCATTGCATACGCAAAATAATGGCGATGTTAGTCGTATGACTATGGAAATGATGACTATTAAAGCTCAATTATTGAAATTGACTAGAAGTATGGAGGATATTACAAGGAAGGTAAGTACAAATACATAAGTCAATTCTTTACAAAATAATTTTTTAAGATTTTTTTTCTTATGCATCAAAAAGCTTATTTCTATGAAAATTTTCAATTAAAACTCTCAAAAACTTATTCAAAACGCTTTTTTTTAAACTCTCGTAAAAAAGGCATGATAAAAATCTTTTTGTAAAATAAGCTTGTTTAAAAAGCTTTTGTTGAAACAAGCTATATTTAAAAAAAAGCTATTGTAGGATATGCTTTTTTGAAGAAAGCTTTCACAATATAACCATATTTTTAAAGGGTATTATTTAAACAAAATTTGTGGGTAAAAGCTTATTTGAAAAAGCTCTTGTAAAATAAGCTTTTTTTAAATATTAAAATAGTTTTTGTAAAATAACTTTTTTTATGTTTTTTTAAAATGAAACTATTTTAAAAACAAGTTTTTATAAAAGCTTTTGAAAAAAGCTCGAATATAGTAAAGCATTTTTTGATAACAAGCTTTTTGTTTTTTGTTATATTAGATTTTTTAAAGCTTTTGTTACGTAAGCTCTTTTGAAAAAAGTCTTTGTAAAATAAGCTTTAAAAAAAAAGCTTTTAAAAAAAAGCTTTAAAGAAAAATATTTTTGGAAACGCTCTTTAACGAGTTTTTAAACTGAATAGCTTTACGACATAAAAAGCTTTATATAAAAGCTTTATATAAAAGATTTTTAAATTAAAAAGCTTTAATGTTAAAAAAAAGAATTCTAAAAAGCTTTAAACATTTTTGATCAAACAGTCCTACAAACATTTTACAAAAAATCTTTTGCTTTAAAATTTTTTTAAGAAATATTTTACTAAAAAGATTTTTGTTTTAAAAGCTTAAAATTCTTTTTATGCGAAAAGTCTTACTAAGCAGCTTCTCTACTCAAATTACTTTTTTAATTAAAAAATATTAAAAAGCTCTTTTCGTCAAAGATTTTAACAAATTTAGTAAATAAGATTTTAGTTTTTATTGAAAACACTTTTTATGAAATAAGCTTTTTACAGAAAAACTTTTAATTAAATAAGCTTATTTTTATTGGAAAAACTTTTTATTAAATATAAATAAACTTTGATTGAAAAAGTTTTTTATGAAATAAGCTTTTTACTGAAAAACGTTTAATTAAATAAGCTTATTTTTATTGGAAAAGCTTTTTATTAAATATAGTTAAACTTAATTTAAAAAGTGTTTTATTAACAAGCTTTTAAGTAAAATTGCTTATTGTGTGTAAGCTTTTAAACGAAAAATCGTTTTATTATATGAGCTTTTAATTGAAAAGGCTTTTTAGTGAAATGCTTTTAGGTGAAAAATCTTTTAATAGTTTTTGAACAAAAAAGCTTTTAAAAAACTTAAAAAAGCTTCAATAAAAATATATTTTAGGAAAAGACATTTTAGCTTTTTTTCTTGAAAATTTTTATTTTAATGAAGTTATAAAAAATTTGAATTTATCTTCCAGTTCAACTCTGCTAAACAGGAGGCATTAGAATGGAAAGATCGTTATGAAGCGGCACAAATACAAATGAATTTATCATCAGAACTTAGGAATTTATCAATACAAAAACTAAAACAACTACAGGTAAAACTATTAACTCAAATAATCTCCAATTCAATAATAACAACCCACATTCTTATTACAGTCAAAGTTACGCACAGATTTGGAAGATGTTGAAAAAGTTTTATATTTGGAAAATGCCAAGAAATGCATGAAATGTGAAGAAAATAATCGTACTGTAACACTAGAACCCTGTAATCATTTCATTTTATGCGATTCCTGTGCTACATCGGTAACAGAATGTCCCTATTGTCAAATGCCAGTAGCAACAACACACACTTAAAAAAAACTACTAAAAAGGATATAAAAGCTTGTTTCAGCAGAATCTATAAAAGGAATAAAGTTAAAAGCAGTAAAATAGAGAAAAAAGGTAGGAATTTCTTTAATTTTTCTTTCTCTCGATTTAAGTAAGAAAAATTGTATTTGATTTATAACGGCGTATTTCTTTAAATTAGAGTAAACAATAAATTAAAATATTAAAAAAATACAAACTAACAAATTATAGGTAACGCATATTTTAAAAAAATTTTATTAAAATAACAAGCAAAAACAAATTTATATAAAAAAATATACTACTTATATACATACAAGAGAACACAAAGAGAAAGAAAGAAAAACACTCTTAAATGAAAAAGCTTAAAATATTAAATAATTTCTTTTTAGTAATTAGTTTATGCTTTTTTTTAACAAATTGACAATTAAAGCATATTTATAAATAAATATGCTTAATTATTTATATTATTATATAAAACTACAATTATTTTTTTTTTAATTTTCTTTAGGAATAACCAATTTAATTTTGTTTTATGTTTCTTAATGTCTGTATAAAAATATATTTTTAAAATTTTCTAACTACTAGTTATTTATATAAAAAAAATTATAGATTTTTTTATAAGTATTTTGGAAAAAAACACAAAATAAATATTTTTTTTTTACACATTACAAATTATTTTCCTTTTATGATGCAAAATTAATAGGTGTTTCAAAAAGCTTCAATACAAAAGTTAATAATTAGTTTTTTTCATTTTTTTAATTATGTAGTTTTTTTACTAATTATAGTATAAACAATATTTAATATTTTTATTACTTGAGTTTTTTTTAATTATTTAGCTAGTATACAAACAATTTATTAGTATAGTTTTAAAAAAATGGCCAATTTATATTTGAATTTTTTTCTATATACATAATTATTGTGTTTAAAATTTTTTAGTAATCGAGCATTTTTTAAAAAATTAATATAAAAAATTTAGGCCTTTAAATAATATTTGAAATTTTAATGTTGTGTAAAAAGTACTCTGCATTTTCATCATTGCTTTAGTCGTTCTAACATAAAACCTTGACTATACAGAGTTCATTTCAACAATGTTGTTTTTGTAGAGAATAGACTGAATACATATTCAAGAATAGACTACAACTAGTTGAAAATTGTTTATTGTCCACAAATATACTCAAGACTATGGATTATAGGTGAAACAATAACCTTTAACCTGCAGTCGATAATACAAACTTGATTATCCATAGACTAGACTACATATAGTAAAGTCTATTCTATGTATAGTATCGACTATATTCTCCACTATTGGTCCGACTATAGTCGAAGCCATAGACTTGACTTTAATCGAGACTATTTTTGACTGTAGTTCATAGTCAAAACTTTATTCTAGACTATAGAATTTACTATATTCGAGACCATAGAATTTAATATGGTAGAGACTATAGGCAAGACTAAAGACTTGACTATAGTACATAGACTTTACTATAGTCAAAACCGAAGACTTAACTGTAGTTCATACAAGACTTGATCCTATTCGACACTATAGACTTGACTATAGTAGAGACTATACACTTGACTTTAGTAGACTTGCCTATATTTATCTATGTAGAGACTAGAGTCAAGACTTGACTACAGTCGAGAATATATATTTGTCAATAGTCTATTTTATACTTGACTATAGTAGACTTTAGTAGAGTCTATAGATTTAACTATTGTCAAGACTTAAGACTTTAGATTTTGCTAAAGTCATGACTAAAGACTTTACTATATTTATCTATGTAGAGACTAGAGTTAAGACTTGACTACAGTCGAGAATATAGACTTGTCAATAGTCTATTCTATGGATTCATATGGACCTCCACTCAAGACTTGACAATATTCGTAACCACAGATTTGACTTTAGTCAAGATTATAGACTTTACTATAATCGAGACTAAAGACTTGACTATATTCAATTATAGTAAAGTCTACAGGCAAGACTAAAGACTTTACTATAGTAGAGAGCGTAGGCTTTTGTCCTAAGTGTCGACTATATTCTCCATTTAAGACTTGACAATAGTTGAAACCATAGACTTGACTTTAGTCGAGATTATAGACTTTACTAAAGACTTCACTGTATTTAACTATAAAGTCAAGACTAAAGTCTTTACTATTGTCGAAAATATAGACTCGTCAATAGTCTCCACTTAAGACTTTGCTATAATCGAGACTAAAGACTTGGCTATAGCCAATTATATTAAAGTCTACAGTCAAGTCTAAGGACTTTAATATAGTCGAAAATATAGACTTGGAAATAGTCTATTCTATGGACTATGTTCCCTACTCTAATATTTACTATAGTCAAGACTTAAGTCTACTTAAGACTTGACAATTGTCGAAACCATAGACTTGATTTTAGTCAAGATTATAGACTTTACTATAGTTGAGCCTAAAGACTTGACTATATTCAACTGTAGTAAAGTCTACAGTCAAGACTAAAGACTTTACTATAGTCGAAAATATAGACTTGGCGATAGTCTATTCTATGGACTATATTCTCTACTATAAACTTTACTCAAAACTTAAGTCTCGACAATATTCTCTACTTAATTCTTGACAATAGTCGAAAACATACACTTGATTTTAGTCAAGATTATAGGCTTTACTATAGTCAGGACTAAACATTCCACTATTTTCAACTATGGTAGAGTCTACAGTCAAAACTAAAGATTTGGCTATAGTAGAAACCATAGACTTGACGTTAGTCGGGACTTGACTATAGTTTAGACTATAATCTATCGGAGACTGTAAATATTATTATAATCGAGACCTTATACGAGACTAAAAATTTGACTATAGTCCAGACTATAGACTTCTGTAGTCTCTATATAGATAGTAGGCTTGACTATGGTAGAGATTATGGTCACACACGATACGTTTTAAGTCTAATTTATTATATTTAATTAAAGCTCATGACTTGATCAGTTATTTATTTGTTTTTGTTTGAATCAAATCTTCGTCTAGTCATAATTACCAGTTAAATTGTGATACATTTTCATCATGACTTGTTTTTCGTTTGGTACTAGTCATACCTAACATATCTGTAAAAACTTTGGGATATCCTTAAGACCACTTCAAGTCCTCTTCAAATAATAAAATATGAACATTTCGTGACACAAAATTCAATTCATAAGGAAACACTTCTACTGTTTAAGCAACGATTTTTTTGTTTTTTTTTTTTAATTATGAAGAAAATTAAGCTATAGTACTTTTTATATAACATTATATTTTAATTATTATAAAAAAATAAAAGTTAATATATTTAATTCAAGCGGTCAGCTGTTCAATAAATGTAAATTAAAATTTTTCAACAAAAACGTCTCAAATTCTTGAGATAGCAATCAATTTATTTGATACTAGGATATTATAATATTTTTAGGAGCAATATTAAATTTGATTTCAATTAATATGATAGCATATTAAATTAATTTGAAAATTCTTCAAAATACATTAGTTCTATCACAAATGGGATAATTTAGCAGATTTTTTTCGCTTTACAATATTTAAAAACTAGTGATTTGATTTCAAATTCCAAACAAAAACGAATTTATATTTACTATAACTTTTCAACTTGCATGATATTTTTTACTTCAAGTAAAGCTTAAAAATTTAAACAAAATTTGCAGGAAAAATTCATAATGTAGATTAACAAATTTCGAATATTCTAATAAATATTAAACTTTTCTATAAAAAATATAACAATTCCAAAAAAACATAATACTTTTAATTTTTTTTTTTCTATTTATTAAAACTTTTAAGAAATTGGCATACGTTAATATATAATTTCCATTTCTTCTATACATACATTTTAAGTTCCTTTCTCTACTTGGAGACAAATTATTAATTAATAATAAAAAAACACACAAATAATATAAAAATAACAAATAAAAAACAAATAAATTTATCATAAAATAAATCTATGTAAAAACTATGCTTTTTTTAGTTATTCAAATAAAATATGTAAATGAAAATTCTAAAAAAAAACGTAAACTATGTAACTAAAACCACCATGAAAAATATTAAATGAAACAAACAAAATTGAAAGAAAAAAAAAAAAAAAAAAAAAACAAATAAACTAACAAAACAGCGATAATTTAATATTAATTATTTTATAAAAACAACAAATTATATCTACAAATAAAAATATTTTAGGCAGAAACAAATTTTCTTACACAAACAATAAAAAAAAAGTTTCAAAACATTTTTTTTGCAAAAGTATTATTCTGAAAACTGTGAACTGTATGTTAAAAAAAAATAATAAACAAATAAAATACATAATGACTGAAATTTTTACAAAGACACCGATACCGAGAACAGTAGTACATTTTATTAAAATGAAATATTATAAAAAAAAACATAAACTAACTATAACATTTTGTGAATTTTTTTTTTATGTTTAAATTATTTTACTTTTAAATTTTTTCTTAATGTCTTTAAAAATAAAGTAGTTAAAACAACAATACATACAATTTTAAACAATATTTCATATAGAACATACTACTTGCCATTAACAATAAATAATACTATAGTATTTTCAAAGGATTTGATTATAATAAAATAGATTTTTTTTAAATGTCTGATATAACTTTTAATAGAAATAACCATAATTGTGGAAAGGTTTTATTATTTAGTTATTTCCTTTTATGGTTTTGATTAACTGATATTTTTTTGTGTACAATTTACTACAGGAATAAAGTCTAAGCATACAGGACTAGAAGAAAAAATAAACTATAATATGAACTAAATCATGGTCGAGACTATAGACTTCAAAATAGTTGACACTAAACTATAGAGTAAACTATAAACGAGAACACAAAATTGTCTTCATTATAGTCGAGAAAATATACTTCAATATAGTAGAGACTATTTACTTGACTACAGTCGACTATGGTCGAATGGATGAAGGCTTCACTATAGTCAAGACTATAGACTATAGTCGAGATTATATAATTGACTAAAGACTTGACTACAGACTTGACTATAACCGAGACCATAGACATGACTATGGTAGAGACAATAGACCTGACTATAGTCTAGACAATAATCCAGACAATGGACTTCGCTATAGTCCAGACTATAGACTTGACTATAGTCGAGACTATAGACTTAACTATAATTGAGACATTAGACTTCACTATATACTGTAGTCGAGATT